CCCGTCTCGGCCTCCCAAAGTGCTGGGATTACAGGCTTGAGCCACCGCGCCCAGCACAGTCATAGTTTTTTTTGAGATGGAGTCTCCCTCTGTCACCAAGCTGGAGTGCAGTGGCGTGATCTCGGCTCACTGCAACCTCTGCCTCCCAGATTTAAGCGATCCTCCTTCCTCAGCCTCCCGAGTAGCTGGGATTATAAGCATGTGCCACCACACCCAGCTAATTTTTGTATTTTTAGTAGGGACGGCATTTCACTATGTTGGCCAGGATGGTCTTGATCTCTTGACCTTGTGATCTGCCCACCTCAGCCTCCCAAAGTGCTGGGATTACAGGCATGAGCCACCGTGCCCAGCCTCATAGTTTTCTATTATAGTTTTTAAATAATTGATTTTCAAACAATTATATGCTTTTGGGTTCCTATTTATTATATTTTTATTTTAATTAAAAAAAAATTTGTTTATATAGAGACAGGGTCTTGTCATGTTGCCCAGGCTGGTCTTAAACTCCTGAGCTGAGGCGATCTTCCCACCTCAGCCTCCCAAAGTGCTGGGATTACATGTGTGAGCCACTGCATTGGGCCTGGGTTCATATTTATTAAACGTCAAATGACTGAATGACTTTATTTTTGTTGATTTTTTTCCTTCTATTTTTTTATTGTGGTAAAATACACATAACATAAAATTTGCTAACTCATTTTTTTTTTTTTTCAAAGACAGGATTTTACTCTGTTACCCAGACTGGAGTGCGGTGACAAATTCATAGTTCCACTGTAGTCTCAACCTCCCAGGCTCAAGCAGCCCTCCTGCCCCGGCTTCCTGAGTAGCTGGGACTATAGGCGCACACTGCCGTATCCGGCTAATTTTCGTTTTTTTTGTAGAGACAGAATTTCTCTATATTGCCCAGGCTGTTCTTGAGTTCCTGGACTCAAGCAATCCTCCCACCTCAGCCTTTGAAAGTTCTGGGATTACAGGCATGAGCCGCCATGCTTGGCCTTAATTATTTTTAAATGTATAGTTCAGTGGTATTGAATATATTTATAATATTGTGCAACTATCACCACAATTCATCTCAAAAACTCTTTTCATCTTATGAAACTGAAACTATACATTAAACAATAATTCCTGATTTCCCCTCCCTCCAGTTCCTGACAGCTACCGTTCTTTTTCTTTTCTTTTTTTTTTTTTT